CAGTTTCATCTGAAACTCGATCTGAAAATCCACCTTCCGTTCCTGGTTTTGCGTGACAACGTCGCGCAGCTACTTATATGGTTTACCTGAGAGTTAAATGCCCTGTAACAAATTCTCGGATCTGATTGGATGTTCAATCCTTGTGACTTTATCTCATGATTTCTATATTTGTCCGAAATCTTAAGTTTGATTGGTCCACATGATTATTCATCAAATTTATCAGGAACATACATACATAGGTATGGTTTACTTAATATGATTGGGTTATCCTTCATCGTGACCTTGTGTAGCACCCCGAACAATACTTTAAAAGGTAGGTACAAGGAACGAATGTCTCTGTACGCAACGTCTTGGAATTGATTGGTTCGCGTGACTTATTCATAGTTTAGTAAAAAACAAAAAAAAACTTATAAATGAGCACGTACATCTGCAAAATCAAAGATGCAATAACAAACAGTAGTAAAAATAAATTTTTGTCACAAAAATTAGTGACCCAATGTAAATTTAAAGTTCTCAATGCTAAATATTTTGTAATTTTCATTTTTTTCATCAAATTTTTTATCGGGCAGATAAAATGATAATCACTGATTGTCAAAGACTTAATCGAAAGAATTTGTCGATCCTTTCTAAATACGTAGATATGTTTCGTAGATTTTAATGTTTTTTGCAGGGCCCCAGAATTTTGGGTCAGATTCATCGGAATTAACCTATCAACTTCTTTTATAAAGAGTCATTTTCTTATACCAGGAATGGATTGCAATGAATAATATGGTTTCCTGTGACTGAAATGGAGTCTGCGTAGATTTCCCCCGTTTCTGGTTTCCCGCGACAACGTTGCGCAGCTACTTATGTAATACCAAATTAAGCAATACATATCAAGTCACACGTATTAAGTAAATTACAAAAACATCAGCAACAAACATGATTAAGTTTATAATTTATACCAACCACAAACTCAGGTTTAAATTAGAGATTATGTACAGCCCCTAAGTGCATGACATATTAATTTTTGATAAATGCATTTTTTATTATTGTTCTCTATAATACGAATTTAGGCCATAAACCAATCAGATCGAAAGTTTTGCGTACACATGCACATTGAGATTTGATATGCCGTATAACTATACACTACACTCAGTTCCCAGTATTATAAGCATACACTACACTCAGTTCCTGGTATTCTATATTTATCTTACTGTTATCCAATAATATTCCAGATTTTGTATTCTAGTTTGTTAACCTCCGTTCCTGGTATTACTTTTATAATAAATAATATGATATTGGAGGGTTTTTTTTATGTATTATGAGTGCGTGAGAGTGAACACATTTAATTATTTACTATGATTGGTTACAGGCTTTCACTCACATTCACTCATATGTATCATAATGATAAAGTATAAAATAAAGCATGTTTCCAAGAATAAAAATGGATTTAAATATTCTAAATTTAATCGATAGTCTAACCATGAATAGACATTCATTTAATTTTTTTCTGATTTTCATCATTCTTTTTTTCATAACTATCGATGCAAAACATCATAAAATTTATCATTATCAACCTACCAAAACATGTACTGTCACTGACATTACCTCTGAAACCGTAACAACTACCATAGACTGCTTAACTACGACACCTACATTATATTCTTGTCCTGATAGTTTACAAGTTCCTGAAGAATGTGATAAATGTGAACAAACCACAACAACAACTTGCACACCTACTACAACAGTGTGTGCTCCTCCTCCTGAAGATATTTGTTGTGGTTCTAGTGGTCCTGCGAGAAATGGTTCACTTGCATTTACTAGTTTTTCTCCACCACCTTATAAATTTATTAATGGGACTACTCCAGAAACCTGTTGTCAATCATGTTACGCGGATCCTAATTGTATTACATATTCTCTTGTTTTTTCAAATGGACTTTGCTTTTTTTATGGAGGGTCAACCGTTAACTGTAGCATTATAGACTACATTTCATCTTCAGAGTCAGCGGTTGGAACTGTAGGATGTGGTTTTTGTAGAGCATAATTTTAGGAATTTTATAGATTATATTAAGCGTATACATATTAAATATCTACTAAATTGCTTTTTAGACAATGACTTTTTATCTGGCATGATTTAATGACTCGATCTGATCGTCACTGTGTGCGCGATGCAGTCGAAATATGACCAACAGATTCTCGATTTCGATTGGCCGTATTATGTGATAATCCTTGATATTTTTTATGTCTACTAGCGATAGTTGCTTGACACCTATCAGATTAATATAATAAATTTATTTTGTTTTAATTTTACAAGCATGTAAATTAAAATCTATAAAATAATTTAGGAATTTGATCTTATAGATATTGAGAAAATTTTAACTAATGTTTTAAAAAAAGCATTGAAAATTTTGAAAATCAGATAAATAGTTATGATTATAATTTTTTTGCATTTAAATGAAAAATATCTCAATAACTACTGGTCAAATTTAGTAAAATTTGTTTATTTAACTCTATAGATTTGTAGAATTAAAATAAATAAATTTTATCAAACTTGCTTGAGTAGATAATCACTTTAAGTTAAAAAAAACAGTTTTTTTTTATAAAAGATATTAAGATATGAATGAAGTTTTCTCAGTGCCTATCTGATCAAACTAATGAAAATATTTATTTTAATTCTAATTATTTGTAAAATTAAAATGAATAAAAATTATCAAGTTTGATTAAGAAATAATTAATTATATTTTTTTAAAAAATTTAATACAATTTAATTATTAAATTTAAATAAATATTTCTTGATAATTATTTCATAAATTTAATAATAAATTTTTTATTTTAATTTTACAAATTTATAAAATTAAAATAAAAAAATATTATTAAATTTAGTTTTAAATTCTTAATTATATTATAAATATAAAATTATAGTTTTTTTAATAAATATATAATTTTTTTGTATTAAAATAAAAATTTTTCATTATTTACTAAATCAATATAATGAAACTTTAAGAAAATTTATTTAAAATTTAACAATTAAAGATATAATACATGTATCTAAATTTTGTTAAAAATATTTTCAATTATTTTTTAACAATAACTCAATAAAATTTTTTATTTTAATCTTATAAATATTTAAAATTATTATTTTTAATTAAATATCTAATATAATAAGTAATTAGTAATTCTGTTACTTCAATGAGCAAGGCTTTAGATAATAATATGAAAATGATGAAACAAGTCTTGAAGGCATGAACTATAATTTAGTAAATATAAACTTTTATTTATTTATTATACTTAAGCTTTTTTAATAACATTTTGACTAATTACTATACTATAAAATATTACTACTACTACTAAAAGGACTTTAATTTTTTCTATTTTGCTTAGAAGATGCATAAGATAAATTTTTTTTATTAAATTCTTATTTCTTTTATACAGTTTTACTCTTACTAATAAATTTTATTTATTTTAGCTTCTTTTTATTTTTTTATCACTTTATTTTTATACAATTATATTATTGCAGTTTTTATCTAAATTAAATAAATACTGTATTTTATATATTTGTATTTTATTTTTATTTTAATGTATTTTACTAATCTGTTTTAATTTTTAAATTCTACTACTTTAAAACACATTATTATGATAATAATGCCTTTTTGATTTTGGAATCGTGTATATATATTCTGTATATTTCAATCATTATTTGTGCTATATATTATTAAAATTTTAAAATATTTAGATAGTTTTTAATATATAAATAAAAAACATATAAGATGTAGTGACTTAGTAAATAGATAAGTTGTCAACCTTAAAGTAATAAGTTGTGAGTTCAAAATCTATTAACATTACAAATTTAATAAACAACTATGTAATATATAAACAGTACTAATATAATAGCATTTTGTTTTCATACTATCCAATACAAAAAACTTCTCCCTATACAAATATCCCATCTACTCAATACTATTTTATCACCATCAATAGAATATCTACTTCAAATATGTTCCTTCTCATAAAACAAACTCCAACAACTATATAGCCTTCTAACAAAATGCATTAAACACATGTTTCATTTATCTATCAATACAAACAATAATATTCTCACTAATCCGCAACTACTCAATATCCCAACATTTAACAAACTCATGTTACAAACTTGCAGTAGTAACATAGAAAGATGCTTTAATAATAATATATTCTTAAATCAAATCTCTATACATCGTATTAAAGAATGGCTTTCGCAAATATGGAAACCATTTCTAACTCAAAATACAATCCTAAAAAACTATAGAAAAACTATTAATTTCACCATAATATCCCAACTTTATTACTTATACAAAAATAATATTTTTATTAATAATACTCACTTAAATTAATTAACATTCCATAAACAAACTAATCAACTAAACAATATCTACAACTTCATTACATATCCAAATAACTCAACAACCTTAAGTTTAAAAAACAACAAAATACTCTTTCTTGAACAATTATTCATAACCAATAATCTTTACTTACTTCCTTGGAAAAACATATATCTTAAAACTCTTAAATCCCCTCGAGATCCTACCTCAAGCTGGTTTAAAACACTTTCAAATCAAATTTCTGCTTTTCCTATCCTACAAATATGGCCAAATCTTCAACTAAAATCTATCAACCTATTTCTAAATACACTTAGTCTCATTACACCTCAATCTGACAATTATAAAAACACATAGACACTCTATACCTCACTTTTTAATTGGCATATTAGTAAAATAACAAATACATCCAACTCCCAAATTCTTTTTCAAAAATACCAAATTATCAACTCAATAACGAATACAACTTATATTTCTCCTACATCCACAATGCTTCAAATAAATTACAACTAAACAATTAATTTAAAATGCAAAACTTAAAAAAGAACACAATATTTTGAACTTAATATAAATAACCAAGAAATCCAAGCACTTCAAAATATCTATGCAGAGTTATATAAACCTGCTCTGCAACTCTTATCATCTCTTTCATTACCCTCTTCAGAAATCATCCAAATACAAAACATAATACCAAACTCTATATATCAAAACCAGCTTATAAACCTTCATCAAAAAATACTACTTCTTGACCCAACTAATTTACATTTTTATACAGATGCCTCTATACTTAACTCACAAACACATAACACATCTACAGGCATTGCCTGGATCCTTGAAAATGATACACAAATTAAATTTAATGTCTCTATAACCTATGCACCCAACTCCACACAAGCAGAACTAGCAATACTTATTTCCCTATTCCTCATCTTACCAAATCCATATTCATCTCAATAATTTATTTACTATCCAAACCCTTACAAACGCAATACCTTACAACCAAAACTCCCAAACTAAACAAAATAATTAGGATATAATTCATATTCTAAATTACTTAATCAAACACAAAAACATTAACTACACTACCCATAAAGTTAAATCACACTTAAACAACACATTACATAACATAGCTGATGGTTTAGCTAAACAAGGTGCTTGTAAAACTGAACTAAAAATTAATCTTGACTACCTCTATCTATTTATCTTTTTTACTTGGAAAGAAATACCAATCACATATAAACTATGAAAATTCTGTAAAAACTTACTTTTTATTCAAACATTCAACAAACTTTTACAACTCAAACCATTATGAAATCTTCCAACAATAAACATCCAACTTCTTACAGAAATCATTAACTCCCAAAACTCAAATCCTAAACTATATTCTATTAGGAATAAAAACTCCTTAATAACCTACTAACAATGTCAAATTTAAATACTCGCTACCCTTTTCTTTACTTAACCTCAAATTGTTCAATTTGCAACTAATGTGAAAATACTGCACATCTCTTACAATGTTCACTCCACACTTCTAACCCACAAAACATTCTCACCAATCAAATTTCTAATACATTAAACTCATTAAACCTCTCAAAAACCTCACCACATACAATAATACAAATTTTAAATCTACAAAATTCTCTTTCTAACTCTACTATATATAATACAATACTCTTACTTATTCAAGGAACAATAACTCTCGATCAATATGAACAACTAAAACCTAGTCTTAAAAAACTAACTAACAACTTCCTTATTCAACTATCTAACTCTCTACTAACTGGTTTAACACTATTATTTGGCAAACTTGAAACACTAAACAACATGAATAGGAATTAGCACAAGAAATTATTGCCTCAACAAAAAAGAAAAACAACATTTGATTACCTATTTTACAATCTTCAAACTCTTCTAATACTAGCTTTATATTTGATACTAATATAGATCCCTTTATTCTTAAAACCCTTACTCAAAACTTCACTATATATAACTGTTTTTATTAATTTAAATAATCTTAAGGGCTCCTTTTACCCTTCTCTGTAGTTAAAGATTACAACAGTTGATTTAACTAATACAGATAACCAAAGGATAATATCACACTAGATGTCGTTAATATATAGCAACAATAGTGTAGTTTAGGAATAATTTTTACTTATACATTTATATCCAATTGATATATTCATGTATTACTATTTTTCCTACTTGATATTATATAAATAAAAAAAATAAAATAAAAAAAAAAAAAACAGCATTTTGTTAATTAGTTGAAATAAGTTATTTGTAACTATGATCATATCAGTATAACTGACATGTTACAAGATATCTGTATAATCTTAATTACACAAAAAGATACAAACTAATATGAAGCAGTACAAATCCAAAATAAGTATTTGTAACATATAAATTTATAGAACTAAGAAAAATTGAAGCCTATTTGAAATAATCCAAATAGAAAAATAACACAAAATTTTAATAGTATTATTATAAAAGCTAGATCTAAAAAATAGATATCAATATAAAAAAACTGAGAAGTCAAAAACTGCTAGGTTAGAAGACTATTAATTAGGTTGCCAAATCAAACTATCAAAAAAGAATATTAGCTTAGACTTAATATAACAGAAGTTTGAAAACAAAGCAGAAGTATACTAAAAATACTAAAAATATGTTATAAAGTAAGTACTAGAATATA